ATGTTTTGTAGATGTTGTGGAGATATTTGAAAACTTCGATCATATCTCCCCTCGCCCTTCTATAATACATACTCGGGATCTTAAGACTTTGCAGTCGTTCTTGATATGGTAGGTCCTTTAGTTCTGGAACCAGCTTCGTTGCCCTTCTCTGTATTTTCTCGATGAGCTCAGCATCCTTTTTGTACATGGGGGACCAAGCGACATTCCCATACTCGAGGAGTGGCCGTACAAGAGAGATGTATAAACTACGTACTACGTCAGAGTCCAAATAAGTGTATGATCTGCGGATCATTGCTAGGATACCATTCGCTTTGTTACTTGCCCGACGGATATGGTCACTAAATGTCAGGGTATTGTCAACATTCACACCAAGGTCCCTTTCATTCTGAGTCTCGGATAGGTTTATAGTGTTTGAATTATCACCCATATTATACCCATATTTTTGATTCAGAAAACCTAAGTGCATTACTTTGCACTTTGCTGCATTGAATTTGAGCTGCCAACACTCGGACCATCTTTGCATTTCTCTGAGATCTGACTGGAGTTTTTCTTTTGTACACACTGTTGAGTCACTGACCTGTGTACCAGCACCTGGAACTGCCGGTCTCCATCTTCTCCACCCAGGACTCGTTCCATGAGTGGGCGAAGTCCACCAGCAGCACCAGCTGGATCAGGATGAAGCAGAAAGCGCCCCCAGAGCCCACCACAAACCACGCTGCAACCACAGACACACAGCTCATTCAGTAACTCACTTGGTATTACAACAACTCTGTATATTGGAAGTCATACTAAATGTAGAATAGGATGTTCTTACTGTAGGTGAAAGGCCCATCTGGAATATAAAAGGCACCAACTGTAACTGCCACCAGGGCAGCACACTTAAAGAACCAGAATCTGAGAAAAACAACAGCTGATCATAGAGTAGGATGTACAGCATTTCTAAACAGTGATCCTTAAGGTCAAAGCTATTTCCCCAGCGTTTCTTCTGATTCAAACACTAACACACTGCAAGGTTTAATGTGGGACAAACAATCAGATCTGCTCAGATGTCATAACTGTTCACATGACTGTTTATTAGGCAAGCGTATCCCATACAGGGAGAAGAACAGGCGACATCCACAAGAAAGACCTTTCAGCCCATATGACCAGGCCAGCTACAACGTCTGTGTGTGTGTGTGTGTGTGTGTGTGTGTGTGTGTGTGTGTGTGTGTGTGTGTGTGTGTGTGTGTGTGTGTGTGTGTGTGTGTGTGTGTGTGTGTGTGTGTGTGTGTGTGTTTGTGTGTGAACATGGAAACTGCTGGAGACACGCCTCTGTCTCTCTTTATCTCTCTGTCTATCTATTTCTATCTTGTTGTGATACAAATATTCAATTGGCCTTTTGAGACGCCTAGAATAAGGCAATCCTTTGAAGAATCTATGTAAAAATTGCGATAAACACAATTCATTAAAAAAATGAAAAAATAATTAAGGACGTTTTAAATAAGCAACTCACAGTTTCAAGGTATTGAAATGAAGTTCTTAATAAGGTGGGACATGGGAAAACAAACAAAAATCAAGTGCAGATAATTAAATAAGAACTTGGCGGCTCAAGGAAATACCTGGAAGCTTTTTGGGTTAGGGTTATCTTTTTCATATATGCCCACATTATCCTTTTTGTTATAGGAATTGTCTGTGTTGTAATTTTGTTACATGGTTTATCTTGTACACACAAAGCAATAGATGAGTAATGTGCTGTCTGTTATGAAAATAAAAGAGGTTTTCAAAGGTGTGAGTGGGACAAAGGCCATCGGCCGAATGACATGTTATATAACTGATATCCTCTGACCTATATATAGTTACAGTGCAGAGAGAGAAAGTCCTTTTTGTTTTAATCAACAGCAAAGAACAGCTCTGTAGATGCCTTTGATATCAGCCTTCTCTGTTTCTGCTCTTACCACACTTGTAACATCTGCAGTGAGAATATGGAGGTTGAGTTTTTTTTTAAAAAGCGTGCTCAGGTACATGAAGGGGAGTCAGAAACAGTGTTTGTGATAGAGTGCATGAGCTGCTGCTGTTACTGCGGGGCTTACCCGTTGTGGATGGCAGCACGGGGGTCTCTGCTGTTCTTGATGTTAATCATCAGGATGGAAAACCCCAGGAACCACATGCTCATGCCGAAGCAGATGCGGTACACTGCCTTGTAGCCCACGAACATCTCACAGTTGACATCGGCCTGCATGCCAGGGATAGAGGAGCCGGCCCCGTCTTCACAGAAGCCAGGGATCTACAGCACACACAGGAAGGGTTCAAAAGAGCAGGAGCTGAAGTCCAGTTCATGTTCGGAAGCACCCGGCCAGTTACCGAATAACCCTAACCCTAAATATACGATTGAAAAGAACGTCTGTGCCTTGTGATCTTGTTCAGTGACACTTTTAGTAGCCAACTCATCGGTTTTTGTTACGTTTAAACCGTAGGACTTTTAAGAGTTATTATTGATAGAGTTTTGGCGCGATTTAGACACGGTCTGCATGATGTTGTTGGTGAAAATAACTGCCAGAGAACAAATCAGATGCTTCACTGTCCATTCTTACACATCTGCCACATCATCTATCGACAACAGAGAGTCAGCTCTTAAGTAATAACAAGTAGGCAGCTCCAGCTGAATTAAACCTTTGTATCCAGCGTCATGAGATGATTAAACATCTGTGTAATGTCAGTGAACTTCATCACACAAAGACAATCATCACACGATATGATTGTAATGGAAACCTCGGAACAGAATGAGAACACAGGAGAGCTGGAACTGTTCTGTTTGACACAGCAATAGAGCATTACCGTGAATAAACATGTGTGTTATATATCTATACATTGACTGTATCTCCACAGTTCAGTCATACCCTTTTAAGCTGCTGATCGACCCCCGGGGACAGCATGATGCAGGCCACGATGGTCCCCAGCAGCAGGATGAAGGCGTAGATGATCCGGGTCACCGTGGAGTTCCTGGTGCTGGGACAGCAGCTGCACAGCAGACAGGTGGCGCTGCTGCACAGGCACGGCAGCTGGGGACACACACAATCACTTCATCATCTGCATGTTAAAGCAGGAGCACCAAACATAGGAGACACAGATGAAAAAAAATCTGCAGAAACATATAAATGCAGATGCTTTCACTCCCTTTTTACTCCAAGCGCTTTCATTACTCACACCTCAGTCAATCTATCAATCAATGTTTATGTATATAGCCCAATATCACAAATGTTACATTTGTCTCAGTGGACTTCACAGTTTGTACAGAATATCAGTATGACAATACGACACCCTCTGCCCTTAGACCCTCACATCGTACAAGGAAACACTTCCAGAGAAAACCCACAGTTTAAAGGGGAAAATGGGAGAAATCTCAGGTAGAGCAACAGAGGAGGGATCCCTCTCCCAGGACGGACAGACGGGCAATAGATGCTGTGTGCAAATCAAAGAGATAATACATTTACAACATAGGTAGACCAAATGTTTGGAAACGCATGTGTCTATAATAAGAAGATGAATCTACGAGGATGTCAACAATCCTGTGGGAGCCATCAGGGAAGTAGTATGATGAGAGTCAGGCAGGACCACAGTGACTGGTTCAGCCACGACTCAGGACCCAGGGCTCGCGATCCAGGACTCAGGATGCAGGACTCAGGATCCAGGACTCAGGACCACAGGAACAGGCACAGCCACGACTCAAGATCCAGGGCTCGCAATCCAGGACTCAGGATACAGGATCCAGGACTCAGGACCGCAGCAAGAGGATTAGCCACGACTCAGGATCCCGGCGTAGATAGACACCAAAAAGAAATTTGGGGGAAGCTGGGTTAATTGGAACATGAGAGTACACAGGTACAGACAGAGAGAAGGAAGAAGTAAGGTGTTTCCCCCGACAGTCTCGGGTGCCCATTACGTCGATCGCGATCGACCGGTCGATCACAAAGGTAGTGTGGGTAGATCGCATGGCATTGACATTTAAAAAAAAAAAAGTTAGCCTATCATCCATCCTTACTATGGCATTTGCCACTTGATTGACGTACAGGTAAGCCAGTCTGA